TTACGGCCATATGTCCTTGCTGGAGCTTGCACATTGTTCGTGCCGACGTTGCCGCCTCGCACTTGTTCGTCACCGTCGTCACGTCCAGCAGGAGAACCCGCAACGCTGCTCCCGCCTGTAGCCGACCCACTTGATGCACCACCGCGAGGACGCCGAGGACGGGCTGCACCTCGTACCAAATTAATCCCGCCGCCACGACCCGTACCACCGCCGCCATGCTCCTGCCTGTGCCCGTTCTGCTCCTCCAGGCCGTCGCCAAGGTACAGACCTTGGACGGCAGATCCCTCAACGCTGCTCCCGCCCATAGCGGAGCCACTAGATGCACCACCGCGAGGACGGACTGCACCTCGTGCCCGATTGCTCCCGCCACCACGACTGGATCCTGCCTCACCGGTACAACCGCCGCGAGGCCTACGGGACAGCCCAACGCGGCGCATGGGGACGACTGGCTCGCTTCCTGCCGTGCCTATCGTAAAGCTTGGCATGGTTCGTCCAAGGAGGCCGGACGGTGGCATGTCCGACGCTGCATCGCCGATGCTTGGAGTATAGACGGCGCGAGGACGACGAACTAGGCCGAGCGGTGGGAGCCCCGGCGTCGTATCACCGCTGGTATAGAAGAAGCCGCCACGCGGACGGCCTGCCATGCCTAGAGGTGGCGGCCGGCGACCACCTAGGACGACGGCATCTGCTGTGCCTCGATCTCGAGCACCTACCACCAGCGCTTCTGGTGGCGGCAGCCAGCTTCCTCCATCCTCTCCACCACGGCCTGCTCCATCCTCCACTACTTCATCTACTGGTGGTGGCTCGTTGAGATCGAACATCACCATTGACGGGAGGAGGAAGATGAATGTGAGAAGTTGCAGCCATGGGGTAACCTATTTATAGATGTATTTCACAGCTTCGCGCGGTTGATCTAAAACCAAAAATTTGGAGCTAAAGGAGGCGCGGGGAGGAAGGAGGATACGCGGGAGGAAGATTTGGACTGAAAATTTTCGGCCAGAGGAGGCGCGCCGAGGAAGAAGATGCGCGGGGAGGAAGAGGAGGCGCTCGCACGAGAACGGCAAATGCATGCATCGCGGCTGGGCGTTGGTTAGGCAGGATATTGAAGACAGTTTTGCATGCTGGGCGTTGATCGTGGCTGGAGTATCACGTACGTGGGCCTGCATGGAGAGCTGAAAAGACATCCTATTAAATGCTGATTTTGCTTCCTTTTGTGCAGCGCTCTGATTGGAAATTAAGCTGGTCGCGGTGCTCCTCCTCAGCCAATCTACAGCCACCTAGGTCATGGTGCTACTCCTAAGATGACTTATACACCCGGACGGAGGGAGTACCTAATTTAAAGAGGAATCTTGTGAATCTTAAAGCCAGATTGTCCCCGCGCGCTATAATTGTCATTAGGGTGGTAGCTAGATTGGCTTAGCTAGCGTGTTCTTTTTAATTGGTTGGGGCGTTGAGAGGAGAGGAGGGTGAGTGGCCAGCTGCTGGCATGGCATGGGCACATGGCCGGCTGACCCGAGGAGGAAGATGCATGTCGTGCGTGGCTCCTTCGTTCGTATGTGGCGGGCGACGTGAGGAGAAGAGGACTGGAGGAGCGTGCGTTCTGCGTAGCTGCGGCTGCTCGATCGGTGTGTGCAACTTGACTTGCGACTTGCGACTGCGTTGAATACACAGCTTTTCTTTCTACTAAGAGCTTCCATCTAAACAAGTTGACGCATGGAATGGAGGATCCTGCGTCATCATCGACGGAGTTCCTTTTCCTTTTTTTGAGAATCTGTAGGGAGTTCCTAAGATCCAGTCTTGAGGACCGGGGGAGGAAGAAGATGGGAGCAGGTTTTTTTTTTTTTTGGAGGCAAGATGGGAGCAGGTGGAGGAGATACTAGCAGCAAGCCGTTCAGAATTCAGAGGTTCCATTCACAATCGTGGGCTTGGGCTTCTTTACAGTCTTACCGGCCCGCCTAGCTTCTGTGTTCCTGTATCCCTAAAAAAAACTTCTGTGTTCTTGTATCCCGCAGAAAAAAGAAATCTTCTGTGTTCTTGTGCTTCTCTTCATTCTTCTGTATCCTTGGGCAAATTCTTGCACACAACCTTTAAACGGGAGGAAGAGGAACCCACTTCTTACCTTGCTTGATGAGCCGCTCATCCAACACACGCAAAGGAGAGACGTCAGCGACATCCACATGCAGGTCAGGACTTGCAGATTCAAACGTCCAAAGTAAGCTTTTCTTCAGCTGTGAGACATGGAAAACGCGATGAACTTGGCCAGATTCAAGCAGGTAAATGTAACCTGTATGCGATGTGACCCACTCGCTCGCTCTAGAACCTGATTTGGCCCAAAGAGGCACAAGGATAGATTCTGAGAAGATCGACCGACATCTGAATGTATGGTTACAGGCGAACAACACCTAGTCGCCAATAGCAGACTGCCGCTCACAACATTGCAGCATCATCAGCATATTTCTTCATACGTCGGAGCATTTGCTTGCTCAGCCAGCCACTTTTGCACATCTGGTGGGCATACCGTATGCAGGTTTGCCAAGTGCCAAGGCTTCCCCTTTGTGCATACACAACTTTAAGAATGCATGGTCTCGAAAGCTTGGGCTTCCCCACCCACAGGTCAAATTCTTCGTTTGGCTGCCTTGCAAGACTGGATATGGACTGCGGACCGGTTGAAGCGACGCGGTTGGGAAAATTGTGAGCTTTGCCCACTCTGCAAAAGGGAACAAGAATCAAGCATCCACCTTTTCGTCAAGTGTCTCTTCTCCATTCGGCTCTGGCGATCGGTTTACAAGTTTGGTCTTGCGTACATTGACACCTCTGATTGGCACTTGCGTACATTGACACCTCTGATTGGCACCTTGAGGACTCTCTTATGCATTGGTGGGACTCTCTTATGCATGGGCCTACTGAGCGCTGAATGAGAAGATGCGTTGTGCTACAAGAATTCCCACCCGCGGAGATCCATGTGATGAACATTTTGGATCTGCAACAACAGATGAATCCTACATTTTGTGAAGCATTCTAGTATGTTTTTCCCATGCACAATCAAACCAGCATGCAATCGCGTAGCACTCAATATGCCATGACACTATTCTTGCGTTTTAGAAATCCTGCGAGTCAATCTCCAGTAAATTACTCATCCACCTTATATACCGGTCCACCAAAAAGAAATGCAAGAATTCAATTTCATACTAGTCCTTTCTCATTTGCGGTCAATCTGACATAGCATGTTTAAACTGGGATTGTTTGATTAAGAAAACATGATTGGTACACAGAACATACTGCTCGAGTTCCTTAAGGTTCATCACCACCATTGAATTTGCTGGATCATGGAATGTGTACGGCTAATTTTTCTCTTCTACACGTGACGTCTCCTGTTGTACACGGTCACATCATGCGGCTTTGACAGTAAACCCTTTTCTTCTGTCTGAGTTACAGGACAGGGCATATAGGAGGGCAACACTCAAGAATTGCTAATGGGCACAGAACTAACACACACACACACAAAAAAAATCAAATAACTCCAAATGACAAGTTCAAGTTTTCCCAGAATTGATTTACGGTGTATCATGATCTGATTGGGCGCGTCCCTTGTAACCGGATCATCTTGATAAAGGAAATTCCATCAGTAACTGCATTGTGCCAAGAAAACAGTATGCATTAGATGATTATTATGCAGATGATACATCCTAACAGTAACTCCTAGTGATCACGATCAGTAAATGAGTAACTTGCATAAGAAAGTTAACAGTATTTGTGAGTAAATGTTGCACGGCGTCTTGAATAGTGGATGTGGGTTGAAACAGCTCTTTTAAAAGTTTGAAATAACAGAATGGCACAGTACGATAATTTTTTTAAAGGCCATTAGAACTTATATATTACAGATAAAACTGCAAACCATAAAGAAGTCAGAGTACCTTAAGAGTCACCCACTTCCTAATGTTTGATAGTTTGTAAACACCATTGGTTTATTTCCAATTCAACACCCAGAATCTAACTAGTGTATGTGATATTATTTTTACCCTACTGAAAATCACAAAACAAGCCATCATCTTTGTTTCCGAATACATCATTCACTGCACTAATCACCATGTGTTGCACTACAAATTAGTGAGATATATGAAGTCCTCTAATAGCACTAAAATCCCTAGTTTTGCCCAAGGGGGATAAACAACGGCTGGGTGACTTCACAAAACATCTAGTACACATCTCCAAATTGTGGTCAGTTTTTACACCTTTTGTGACAATATATAAATTATTACATCAGATGCTGACATGCACAACAGAACACCTTAAAGTTGTCCCGGAGTTTCACTCGAAGGCGGAAACTGGTCATAAACTAGAACTGGTAGATGCTTAATTAAGCATTGAGATGTTGACTCAGTCATCTACAACTGATGAGAGATTACCAACTTATCCCTCCCAGCATCCAGCATAGCATACCCAACTCAAGGATACAATCAGCAACCACTACAACGGCATGTGTAATAACTCGACTATGTGCTGACAGCAAGTACAATAAATTGGCCAAAGTTCTAACTGAACTTCCTATTTCCAGTAATAAGATATATACCACTTTAGATTCAGAACAACACAGAATCATATTAAATCAAACTGAAATCAGGGTATATAAATATTGAAAGGAGACGGAGAAAATGTGGCCTTAGTTCCAAAGCCGAAAGACACAATACAAAAGGAACCATATAAAAGGCATTCTTCACTAGCAGAAGACATTTACACGAAAAAATAGAATCTTAATACAAGCCAAGATACTCAAGTCATGCATCCATCATTATGCATATCAACTGGTCCAGGACACAAACTGAAATCAAACAACAACAGATTATAAAAGTTCAAGGAACACATACCTCCATCGGAAGTGGTATTGACAAGAAAACCTTCAGAGTCGCCCATTAACAGCATAAAACATGGAGTCATATTACGAGAACTAACACGGAAACGAATTTGTCACATCTTACGCCAAACAAAGTCCACTGCCCATTTCATTGAATTTTGCGCTTTTGTGCTGTCATATATCAACAAGGAACGGTAAGGACAGAAGCATTATTGAAGGAAATCATGGCAATAATAAAATACTGAGTAAATGCTTCCTTACTTTTTTTGTGGTTACGTACAGCCGCCAAATTTTCCATTCCATCATGTTTCCTCTTCTATACAAAGATCATTAAAATTTAGTGCATAGCCAAAATATGAGTCAACATCATGCTATTTGAAACACATTGAATAAATGGGACTACCTTCTCATGATGTTTTTTGGAATTATCACCTCCCAAATCATGATGCACGCTCTTCTCTTTTTTCTTTTCTTTGTCTTTGTCTTTGTCTTTCTCCTTCTCCTTCTCTTTTTCTTTCTCTTTCTCTTTCTCTTTGTCTTTGTCTTTATCTTTACTCCGATCCTTATGGCGATGTTTGTGCTTCTTGTGTTCCTTGTCCTTGTCTTTCTCCTTGTGCTTTTTATGCTTCTTCACTTTGTCCCTGGACTTAACCTTTGATTTTCCCGATATAGTTGGAGTGCCTTTTTCAGCCTGGTGAATGCAAGAGAGTTGAAACAAGGAGTGGATGTAGCAAAAGAAGAAAATGTTCTAACGGGGATATCCTACCGAAGGCAGATCTACTGGCGCTGTTTCTCGCAACTGAAATGCGTGTCCTAGTGTTTCCATGTCAAAAGGCTGAATATAAGCAGTCTTCTTCTCCCTCAGATCTGGATTCTGAATGAGTTGATCTATCTCCATCCCTTCTCCTTTACGGATTTCAGTATCACCCACAACATTCTGAAGATAATGTGTATCTGAGATAGCCAGTGGCAATGGTTTCTTACAAAAGAAACTGTGATGGTTCAGCAGCCTGTAGCGGCTAATTAAATCAACAGCCCCAGTGAGCTCCCGAGGACCTGAAATACACCGAAACTCATAGTGTGTCAAGAGTCAAGAGTTCTTTTATTTGCAAGCAATAACAAAGTTTTGGTCCTTCAGGGCCAAAACTGGTAAAGGATGGAAGCCTCTGAACAGAACCAGTTGAGCGGCAAAGGTGGACGTGCTTTATTGTACAAGTCGTAACGTTGGTCTAAACTCAATATTTCGCGTAGATAACACCAACTTGCTTATTTCATAATGAATATTTGACCCAGCATAAGAATTCAAAAAGCGCAGAATAGTACTTCATCATCGTTGATACTGTTACAACTTATAAGCATGTGGCACCCATGAACTTATCTAATCAAAAGTATATACAACGCATACTAAAATGCCAGCCTTCATGCTATGGCCTATGACAGATCAACATACACATCACATGACAAAGCGACTTTAATTGAGTTACAGGGTTTCTAGCTCATGTGAAATTTGATAACCTTTTCAACATATACGTCACATTGTCTTTTAGATAAACTTAACACTACCAGGGCATCAATCAAAGCTACAAAACATGATCATGTTTGAAAAGGTTATCAAATTTCACATGAGCTCACCTAGATTATTTTTTCTAGGGTTAGCATACTCAGATAAAATACAATATATATCCTAGATAAAGGCCCTGAGAGTTACAGAAGACCAAAGCTAAAGCAACATAATGTGACTTCGCCTTCGCATTTATCAAGAGTGCCATCACTGCAACATTTGCAAAAGAGATATACCGATATAAGACGCAAATAAGTAAACTCATGGTCATGTACGAGAAGCAAACAAGCTTCATGCCTTACTAACAACTCAAAACCAGAATAGGTCAATCTGTTTATTTTATTCTTAAATATGTATCGCTCAATTTGTATAAACACTCCTTGGTTTTTTAAACTGTACAGCGTGCTATACCATAAGATTGGTACGAATATGGTGTTACCCATTTTCGTGAACAATGAAGAAGAATTAAAATAGTACCAAAAAGGACATTACCTTTTCCAAATTTACCATCCGAAGCCATCTGATTAGAGCCTGACATTTGCAAAATGCATGTCCACCTAAGATTTGATTTAAGAAAACAAATACACATAAGCAATCAAGCAAAAGAAGCAAAGTTAGTTGGATACATTTTAAATCATAGCTCAAGAAGGTGCGCCTAACGCCTAGCGGTTAATTGTGCTTAATCTGTGCATAAATGAGCGCTTTGCTCAGAAAAGCGCAAGGGGGCGGCGAAACGCACAATTAACGCCTAGCAATTTTTTGAACTATGTTCTAAATAACGTACTAGATAGACTTAACTAACACCAACACTAAAAATAGAAATTGCATCTGCTAGTTAGGGCCTGCTGCTAGTGTTAGAATATTTTCCACTTCTGTGTATGGTAAGTTGGTAAATGTACATGATATAGAGGTGAATATTGGAGAAAACGATAGGTGAATATTCGTGGTGTCAAAATCTGTTATACCAAACACTTTATCCTGCACTGCGAAATTCGCTAGACAATTCACCCATTGACCCGCTATATGCGAAGATCGGTTACATTCATAAACAAGATTTGGATCCTGCATAGGCTAATGCGAAAGCGTAATAATATGCAATCTGTACCGCTATCTACCAGCAAGGGCCGATTAGTTGCTAATCCGGGCGACAGTAAAATGGATTTTGTTAGCACCAACAATTTCTTCCCCGAACGTTTATGGAGCGACGGCACAGAGTCCTTAATAATTATTAAATGAGCTTTGGCAGGCAGACACGGAGGTAAACAGAGTATCTTCAAGCTAGAGGGCATGAAACTTGTGTGGTCAAGGCCGCCATGGGCGGATCTAGATGGTGCGCCGGGGGCGCGCCGCCGCTCCCAAGATTTGTGATTAGCTTGGCTCTAAGCAACCACCGGATGGCTAAAAGCTCGTACCTCAAAACCCGTCGACTGCGGACGGAGTGGATACGGCGGGGACGGCGATGGGGGCGGCGCGCGTGAGAGGCGGGAGGGTTGGGAGCGGGTGGGGGGCGTCGGACGGTGATGCTATCAGCTACGGCACGGCGACGGCTCGAGGGACTAGGGTCTCAGATTGGAGCTGAGGTCAGAGCATGTGAGATAAGTCAGAAGAGGAAGGAAACTATGAGAGGACTGATAGGAAAATTCTATTAGTACTACTCTCTCTCTCTTTTGACGTAATAATCCACCTAAAAGTATTTAATTCTGCCTGCGGAGCAGATGGTGCGCAACTTCTTTCGAAAAGCTTACACGTGGTCTCAAAAGTTTAAAATTCATACAACCTACTAACTTTGTACTAAATCGCGTTTGTTTTGAAACGGAGGGAGTATTAGAGTAACAAATGTGTATTGCCGCGAAAACACAAAAATAATCCAATTATATTGGCTTAACCAATGCGTGCGCAGCGCTGCAAGGAAGAAACTCAATCAAGCAACCAACACTCATTTACGTAACTGAAGTAGTGATGAAAGCGGGTTTTTTCTTCAGAGAAGTGATGAAAGCACCTTTTGCAAGATGTGATTTTTTTTTCTTTCTAAAATTGGAGGGGTCTCATGAGTTCTAGATGGATGAGGAAGATATGACGGGAGAGTGAACACACCCCGCCACCAACTCTAGTTTATACGATAGTGGAAATTATGCTCTTGCTATAAATAGATAACTTTATTTAAGTGAAAATGACAACCATGATACAAAAACTTGGCACGACGTAGCAGTTTAGTCGGACCCGTCGACTTTCAAATCACACGATTTTGCCTTGTATAGACTACAAATAGATCTCTTATTTTTGCCGATATAGATGCGTGAGTATTAAGTGGCTATCTGGAATGCATTTAAACTTTGGCGCGTATTTCACTCGCTCGCCATGGCATAAATATGCATTGCTTGATTTGTTCCAGGTCATTTGTATATTAATTGGCTCGTTGTTTTTTGTGGTGTGGGCAGGAAAAAAATGATAGACACCCACAGGCGTAAAAATGGTGCAAGCGTGGCCCAAAATAATAATGGCAAAGGGGTTTCTCTTTCGATCTCCATAGTGCTCTACAAGTTGGGTGTCTTTTTTTTGGGTAGAAGGAAGGATTCAATGGGAGGGCAAAGGATAGTTATGTTTTAGGTTAGCTCTTGTTTTTTACAGACTTTCTTTTCGGTGTAATTTAATAAAGAAGTACTCCCTCCGTCCGTGAATAAGTGTACATCTAGGATTTGCCTTAAGTCAAAATTTTGAAACTTTGATCAACTTTATAGAAAAAAATAGCAGCATTTATGACACTAAATTAGTATCACTAGATTTGCTTTGAAATGTATTTTCATAATATACCAATCTGATGTCATATATACTACTACTCTTTTCTAAAAAGTTGATTAAAATTATAAAATTTTGACTTAGGACAAATGGTAGAAGTACACTTATTCACGGACGGAGGGAGTAGCCCTTAGCGATGTCGCGGGGCCCACAATCGATTGGTTGTTCTTTGCGAAGATTACTCCTTCTATGGTTTACTCATGTGAGTTTATCATGGGCAAATCTGACATGGATAGGCTTTGAGGTGCTAAAAGATCCTCACTCTTAGAAAACATCAACAACGGCCTGAGCCCGTAGATGCTGAAGAGCACTCCTATGATACAAAAAGCTAGTCATGTATGAACTTCCATAACGATTGTTGTAAGCCACCTCCTGGTGCATGGACACCATGACCACCATGACGATTTGTCGGTGATGTGTGTGTGATGTGGGAGGCGAGCATGGGCCACAAGAACCTTTGCATGACCCGGCAAATGCACCGGTATAGGACCGAGGTTATGGTCTACAGGGGTGAATAGACCTATCAAAAAATACCGCTTCAAAATTTAGTTGACTGAGTTGTAGAATTTTCGACATGGCTGCTTAGGGTAGCCTGCATATGAAACTCTATAACTAAAGTACGAGTGCGGAACCTAGACTTGCATAGAACTCCAAATTAAGGGAAATGATATTGCAACGTAGTTAACATCGCGATGTTTTCCCAAGTTTTGGATGGTGTTGTCCAACTCCACATTGGCGTAGGTTCGGGGACAAAAGCCCTAAGGCCTCGACAAGGTCATCCACAGGAGCCCATGAAACCTCTTGCTCACTAATTGCGTCTCGCGATCGGCCTGACATGATATGATCGCGCTAGATCGCTCACGTCCAACGCACAACGCCCGAGTTGGGCCACACCATGCTGGCCTCCAATATTCATGGCACTCATCGCTTGCGTTTCTTCATCTTACGTATGGGTCCTGCTGAAGGAAATATGCCCTAGAGGCAATAATAAAGTTGTTATTTATATTTCCTTATATCATGATGAATGTTTATTATTCATGCTAGAATTGTATCAACCGGAAACTTAGTACATGTGTGAATACATAGACAAACAGAGTGTCACTAGTATGCCTCTACTTGATTAGCTCGTTGATCAAAGATGATTAAGTTTCCTGGCCATGGACAAGAGTTGTCATTTGATGAACGAGATCACATCATTAGAGAATGATGTGATTGACTTGACCCATCCGTTAGCTTAGCACTATGATCGCTTAGTTTATTGCTATTGCTTTCTCCATAACTTATACATGTTCCTATGACTATGAGATTATACAACTCTCGAATACCGGAGGAACACTTAGTGTGCTATCAAACGTCACAACGTAACTGGGTGATTATAAAGATGCTCTACAGGTGTCTCCGATGGTGTTTGTTGAATTGGCATAGATCAAGATTCGGATTTGTCACTCCGTGTATCGGAGAGGTATCTTTGGGCCCTCTCGGTAATGCACATCACTATAAGCCTTGCAAGCAATGTGACTAATGAGTTAGTTACGGGATGTTGTATTACGGAACGAGTAAAGAGACTTGCCCGTAACGAGATTGAACTAGGTATTGAGATACCGATGATCAAATCTCGGGCAAGTAACATCCCGATGACAAAGGGAACAACGTATGTTGTTATGAGGTTTGACCGATAAAGATCTTCATAGAATATGTAGGAACCAATATGAGCATCCAGGTTCCGCTATTGGTTATTGACCGGAAGTGAGTCTCGGTCATGTCTACATAGTTCTCGAACCCGTAGGGTCCGCACGCTTAACATTCGGTGACGATCGGTACTATGAGTTTATGTGTTTTGATGTACCGAAGGTAGTTCGGAGTCCTGGATATGATCACGGACATGACGAGGAGTCTCGAAATGGTCGAGACATAAATATTCCGGAGAAGTTTCGAATAAAACTGGAGTGCCGGAGGGTTATTAGAAACCCCGGGGGAACTAATGGGCCTCGATGGGCATTAGTGGAGAGAGAGAGGGGCGGCCAGGGCAGGCGCGCGCGCCCCCTCCCCCTTGAGTCCGAATTGGACTAAGAAGGGGGCGGTGCCCCCCGTTTCCTTTCCCCTCTCCCTCTCCTTCCTCCCCCTCTCTCCCTTTTGGTGGAAGCCTACTAGGACTTGGAGTCCTAGTAGGATTCCCTCTTGGGGCGCGCCAAGGAGGGCTGGCCGGCCTCCCCCTCCCTCCATTATATACGTGGGGAGGGGGGCACCCCATAGACAGACAAGTTGATTGTTTAGCCGTGTGTGGTGCCCCCTCCACAGATTTCCACCTCGGTCATATCGCTGTAGAGCTTAAGCGAAGCCTTGCGTCGGTAACTTCATCATCACCGTCATCACGCCGTCGTACTGACGAAACTCTCCCTCGACCTCAGTTGGATCTAGAGTTCGTGGGACGTCACCGAGCTGAACGTGTGCAGACCGCGGAGGTGCCGTACCATCGGTGCTAGGATTGGTTGGATCATGAAGACGTACGACTACATCAACCGCGTTGTCATAACGCTTCTGCTTACGGTATACGAGGGTACATGGACAACAGTCTCCCCTCTCGTTGCTATGCATCACCTAGATGGATCTTGCGTGTGCGTAGTTTTTTTTTGAAATTACTATGTTCCCCAACAGTGGCATCTGAGCCAGGTCTATGCGCAGATATTATATGCACGAGTAGAACACAAAGGAGTTGTGGATGTGGGTATATACACATTGCTTGCAGTCACTAGTTGATTCTTGATTCAACAGTATTGTTGGATGAAGGGGCTC